CCCCTACTGGGGATCAAGCCCGCACCCCAGCATGTGCCCTGACCAGGAATCGAACTGTGACCTCCTGGTTTATAGGTCGATGCCCAGCCACTGAGCCACATCGGCTGAGTAAGCTCGGTCCTCTAGTTTAGCAAATGCCAAGAACACAAGAAGCAGCACGGACAGAGGCAGATTAGAGAGCGTAACGTTAGAAGCGGAGGTCTGGGCTGCTATAGACTTGAGGTTTCAGGCTCAATTTCCTCATTTGTAAAATGAAGATAGTGACACCGGAAACTCCTAGAGATATTGGTAGAACAACAAAACGAGGAAGCACTTAGCGTGGAGCCTGGCCCTTAGGAGATGCTCCGAATAACGACGACGGTGACGATAATGACATTGCTGCTGTGACCGGCCCCATGTTTCTCTGCTCCAACCCGGCGTCATGCCCAAACCACCCTCACGCGTCCACCCCCACGGGGCTGGCATCACAGACTTGCCTGGCACACTCCTCGTGGGCAAGGGCCCTGACAAAACCAAGCCAAACCCAAGCTTTCTTTATATTGAGTGTTTCAAAGAAATTTTCAGATATATATATATATACCTCCATTCCCTCAAAAATCAATCTCCTTCCCCAACTCCTACAAGCCTTACTAAGGTAAGCACACTCCTCATGGCGGGGAGCTCAGGACTTCTGGGCACACCCCATTATATTGCTGGGCAGTTGTAGTTTTTTTTAAAAAAAATTCCATCTCCGTGTGGCTTCTTCTTTATTCCCTCAGTTATAGGAGTTCCATTTGGCCCGTCTTCAGATGGTTCTGCAAGTGGTTGTTCTGGGGTTTAGTTGTAATTTTGATGTGGTCATGGGCGGAGGCGAGCACAGCATTTACCTGCTTCACTGTCTGGATCAGAAGTCCCAGTGGCAGTTTTCCATACGCTGCTGCTTGCGCTCCGTTTGGAGTTGAGCTCTGCTTACCGGAAACATCCACACGTTGGCCTTTGCCCTCCTGAGCCGCATGGAACAAGCCCCCTCACTTCTCCCTGCGACACTTCTCCGGGCGTCTGAGTTAACGCTCAGGCCTGAGCTGCAGGCTGCTGCCCAGCCTGTCTATCCAACCCCAGTCTTCTTGAGGGACGTTGTCCTTCATGCGCACATGAGTCATGAACCAATCCGGGGGTCACCCTCCTGTCTGTGAATGATGGTTTGGGGTCCTGATTTTTGCTGTCTTCAGGCAGGCCCCAGCCTCCCCGGAAGAGCTTGGTCGGCTGAGAATCAGGCGCGCTGTGGTGTTTGAACCCTCGCTGCACTTGTCCTGACTGCCTGACCTTGGACAAGTTCCCCAGCCTTCTCTGAACTTCATTTCCTCACCTGCCAGACGGGATACAGAGCCTTAGCTTGCAGGTGGTTGTAACAATTCGATGAGATCATGCCGGTGTTGAGCCCCGCATAGGGTGAGCGTTCCGAAAAGGGTGGTGGTTGTTTGGAAGAGGGAAAGCTGCAGAATCCTTTGAGGGGGCAGAGCAAGAGCCAGCTCTCCCCGGGGATGCAGGGAGGGGCCCGGGTTCCGAGGGGAACTCATCCCGTGCCAAGCAGATGGAAAGGCGATCTCGTGGCCAACAGCTGGAGCCACCAATGCAAACCTTGCGCTGGGAGCCAGCCCTGTTGCCCCAGCAGAGGGGCCGTAGGGTGGACACAGCCGGTGCCAAGACAGATGGGGCAGCGGCCAGCTTTTCAGTCAACCCAGATGTCTGTCTTAGATGAAAACTCAAAACTGTGGCTTCAATCAAAGTGGCTCTTAAGGGCCAGGTGCTCTCCAGGCCTTGGCGGGGGGACTTCGGAAGCTCTGAGTGGGGACCTTTGATAACTCCCGTGGGGTCACGAGGGTCAGCTGCATCTGTCACTCAGTGAAGGGAGAAGGGGGACCATAGGCTAGCCTGGATCCACTGAGTCATCCCCCTGAGAAAGAGGGCCCTGGGGAATTTTTCTGGAAGAAAGGGGATTTGTCTGTGCCATGTAACTGAGACTTGAAGGCAGTCCTTTTTCTGTGTTAGAAATAGCAGCATTCTGACATCAATGATGAGAGAGAATCATTGATCGGCTGCCTCCTGCACGCTCCCGCTGGGGATCAAACCTGCAACTCAGACATGTGCCCTGACCGGGAATCGAACCGTGACCTCCTGGTTCATAGGTTGGTGCTCAACCACTGAGCCATGCTGGTTGGGCATTGATTTTAATTCTTACGTGTTTCTTAAATTAGCCCCACTCTTCTATTTCCCACTATGCTACTCTGATCTTTACTTTTACTTTTTTTTTTTTTGAATTTTCATAAGATTGTATTTGAGCCAAACTGACGACAGTTGCTGGGAAGCAAGATCTCAAATGCTTCCTGATCTCTACTTTTAATACAGACAGCTACATTACTACGGAAGTTCCTTAAAAAAAAGAAGAAGAAGAAGAAATAGTATTCTGCAGGGACCTTCCCACAGTCCAGCACAGAGCCTCAGAAGCCAGGTGATTTAGGGGAAGCAACAAAGTCACACGGCTCCCTGGCTGCGGCTGTATCACTCCCCCACTCCTGATTCTGCTAGACTGCCTCATTGAGGATGACAAAGTCCTTCCCTGAGATGCAAAGCCTTCTTTTATCAGAGAAATAGAGGCTCAGAGGGGCAAAGCCACCAGGGCTGAGAATGTTCTAGAACCCACAAGTTTTGCCCACTATTCCCAATCCCACCCCGGCCGCTGGCCTTCCTTCCTCCCACTCTTGCACAGTAGCTTGCTTGTCATGCCTCCTTAAAGAAACATCCCCAGCCTGGCCCCAGGCTTGGGCACGGAGCTAGGTGCGTGGCACTCTGTCAACACAAACAAGGCTCCCTGCTCTTGCCCCTTCTCTATACAATGCCCAGCTGCACTTCAATGTGTTTTAAATGCTTGCATCGCCCTGGTCTTTGTTATTATGTTCTTTGGTGTCCTAGAATGCTTGCCATTCCAGGGCCTGCACCCTGGGGCCCAGCTTGCTGAGTGTGCTGAACACAGTGGGGGTTGGGGGGTGTGGTACCTGGGACAGGAAGCTGGGGTGGGGGGGGTCAGCCTTGGGTGTGCTGCGCTCCAGGAAATGTTGCGCACTCTCTTGGTCTCACCTGCATATGCGATTTCCTCGGCTCGGTAAGCAGTCCCCCATGTCTCTGACTGGGTTACTCTGATAAACCTTCGGATCTCATCCTGAATGTCACGTCCTCTCAGAAGCTTTCCCTGATTCACTTTCCCAGTTTGAGCTAAGACTTCCTACACCCACAGTGTACAGATGTGCAGGCTGTGCTCTGCACAAAACACCACATTAAAGGGATCATTGGCATCCTGGATCTGTATGTTTATACAGACTGTTTTGGACCAATGGAAGGCGGACCTTTCTCTAATTTGCACAAAGGTGCTGCAGGACCTACCAGGCTCTGGTTCTGCTGTCCGTTCCCACTGCATCTGGCACTGCCTAGTCTCTGCACTAGCACTCTTTCTCTCTTTCTGATGCCCATTACCTGTCTTCGCCCCCCTCCTCCCCTCCCTCACTCGACTGTAGGCTTGGAGACAGGATGGGCACAGCTTTTGTGGAATTCTCCACGGTCACACTTTAAAGGGCACACTGTAAACTGATCAATTGTTGACTGAGTGGAATGTGGGATATGGACATCTCAAGGGTCAGCTGGACCAGAAGGAAAAAGGAAAAACAAGGGAGAAAAGAAAAGTGGCAGAAACATCGTTGGCCTGCAGGGGGAGATGCTGAGTAGCCTGACGGCCCTCTTCCCCGTGAGGCAGTGGGTCCATTCCCTTTTCCCTTTTTGGAGAGATCTTTCTAATAATACTATTAACAGCTTCCATTTATGGACCGAACACTAAGCACAGGCATCATCTCATATACTCTCCCCGGCAGCCCTGCGAGGCTGGCACTGTGACGTCTGTCTGCCTTTGTAGATCAGAGACAGAGCAGAGAGAGGTCGGCAGGCAGAGCTGGGACTGACACCAGGTATGTGCTGGGTGTTCAAGCCTGGGAGCTGGATACAACCTTTTGGTGCTTCACCAAAAAGTCTATTACCCGGTGAAACCGTCACGCTTATTTTTAGTTAGGAAAATATGGTCACTGCTCCAAAGCCGGGTCTGAAGTTAAGGACAGCCCTGCCCCTCCCACCTTTGGGCTCCAGTCCAGGCCCCCCACAAAGCCAACTCACTGAGTCGATTGCTGACAGGACCGGGACCAGGCCCAGGAGGGAGGCCTGGAGGGGCAGACAGGCTGCGCGGGCAGAAGCCATGCTCAAGGCACAGGCACCGTGACACAGCCTCCCGATGGCAAGGTCAATGCCCATGAGAGCAGCGTTTTGCTCACTCCTGAATTCTCAGAGCTTGGCACGCACGGGGTACCCAGCGAGTATTTGCTGAGTGAGTGAGTGAATGAATGAATAAATGCATAAAAATATGTTAGGTTTTTCCACTATCCCAAAGAGGGCAGGGAACTGGATTTTCCATTCCCAAGGCTGAAGACATTCTGGGACACACACCCAATTCCTGATTCAAAGACTGGAGGCAGAAAACAGGAGGTGAGAGACGGCCTGGGGGCCCCTCCGGGGAGAGAACGAGGGAGACACTAAGTCACCAAATCAAGACCTCTGAGCCCCTGGTATCTTGGCAGGAGGTATATGGAAAGGGGTGCAAGGGTAGAAGAGGGCCCAGCATGGGATGGGACCCCTAAAATCCGAGCAAGAACACTGGCAAGAGGGAGGAACCTTCCCAGACACTCAGATGGAGCAGGCAGGCCAGGCTGCCCTGGGCAGAGGGGCTGAGCTGTCTGAGCCCTCAACAGCCTCTGCCACCAGCCAGAGGCAGCCTCTAAGCAGATCTGGAAAGGCTGCCTGGTCTATCCCCGTGTTCTACCCGCCTGGCTTCTGAGACCCAGGTAGGAGAGGGGGGCGGGTAAAGCAGAGGCCAGGCCCTGGGAGAGCTTCCCACACAACCCTGGACCCTGGCACCCAGCACTCACCTGGTCTGGGCGGGCAGGGGGCACACAGGGTCACCCCCCAGAAGGCCCCCACACTGCCACAGCAGTCCTCTTGGGTAGTCAGCTCCAGCAGGGGGTTGGCACACTGGAAAAAAGGCCATGGCACGCGTCACCTCTTCCCTCCCCCATGTGCACAGAGATGTCCCAGGGAAGCCTGAGACAAGTGCTCCCTCCCCCCACACCTTGCCGGAGGGTACCCCCACCCCAGGGAGGGTAGGAGAGAGTCAACTGATGTTCCAAACAGAAGCTGACAAACCTGCAGTCCACTCAGCAGACCCTAAACTTGAGGGGTGGACACACCCCAGGCAGGATAAGCTCTTCTCTATGAGGTCTGCAAACGGCCTCCCTCCATGCCTCAGCCCTTAGATGAGGACCCAAAGGATGGCTTTCCTCTGTCCAACTCCAGGATCACACACGGTGCCAACCTTCCCCACGGGATGGCCCAGGCTCAGGGACACACAAGCTGAGGGGCCAGGGAGGGCTGGGGACTCAGAGTCCCTATTCATTCCTTGGTTACTGCCGGCCTCCTCCAGTCCCCTAAAATCAGGAGGGGTTTCTGGAAACACCAAACTGCAACCCCCAGAAAAACCTTCCTGGGCCTGGCTTAGCTCCTGTACTTAGGTGCCTGGGCTCAGAAAAGCTCCTCGGATTTTCCATCACTGACTGTGGTCGCTTCCAGGTGGGTGTGAGGTGTCTCATCATTGTACCCCCAAGGCTTTGGGGTTTAACCTGCACTTGCTAATTCCTCATCTCTGTGACCCCACACTCAGCTGAATACCAAACTCTCGCCAGATTTAATGGCCCCACTGTCCTTGGACCAGGAGACCCTGGGCTCAGCTCCAGGAGAGCCCAAGATTTACGGGGGCCGAGGACACTGGTGCCCTGCTCTGCGTGCACTGACAGGTGCCTCGTGGAGCCCAGGTAGGAGGCCAGCTGTCTGCGCTCAGCAATTGTAGGCCTAGTTTTCTCACGTGGGGAATGGGAGACCCTGCGAACACTTACGTTCCATGAGAATGAGGAGGAGAGAGAAGGAGAGCAGATTGGGGGCAGGGGCAATCACTGTTCTGGAAGCTTCCAGGGCTTTCTCACCTGGCCGTTCATGCTGCTCAGGTAACACCGGCCCAGCAGCCCCTGAGGCCTGGGTGCCGCTGGGGGCAGTGGCCGAGGGGCCTCTCCGTGCCGAGTGGGGATGCTGTTGCTGTCCCAGTGGCCGTGGCCAGGGCTGGCAGGGAGCCGGGGCACAGGTCTGGTCTCCACGCTGTTCTCCTCCGGGGCCTCCTCGGCCTCGCCCCGCACCCGCGCCACCTGGTGCACCTGCACGGAGGCCTCGGGCGGGTGGTGAATGTGCACCTTCACCAAGGAGGGGTTCACAGAGGCTGGGCACAGGGGCTGGGGTCAGAGTCGGGGAAACAGGGCCCCACCCTCTGAAGAGTGTCCTCTAGCCCTGGGCCAGGCGGGCCCCTGGCCGTGAGTGGCCCCCCAATCCTCCCTCATTTCTTCAATCTCTACTCAAACCTCAGCACAATTCCCCAGTGAGGGAGGACAGGATGAAGGACAAACTCCTTCACGCCTTGCCTTTCCATGAAGGACCTTGGTTATCAACGTCTAAGCTACCTTCCTGACTCCACCTTCCCCATGATCCTGTGCACCCCTGAGCTCCAGCGCACTGAGCCCGCGTGGTCCCACCTCCGTGCCTTCGCTCATGCCAGTCCCTCCGCAGAGGGACCCCTCCCCTCCTCTCTGCGTAACCAAAGGTACCCATTGTTTAAGGCCTAATCGAAGTCCACCTCCTCCATGCAGCCTTCCCTGAACACCCTGGGCTTAGGGGGCTCTCCATCCCTGACCTCCTATATTTTTGCACCTTTAATTTGGCACCTAGTGATGGAAGGCAGGGGAAATGAAGTGTTCTATAATGCTCTCTCTCTCCTGTCCATCCTCCTCTGTTATCCAGGTTCATGGGTTCCTTGAAGGCAGGACCTTGACCTCATACTCTTTTGTCTCATGCATAGCACCCAATATGGGGTAAGGGCAACTACATTGCTGAATTCAGATGGGAGGGCAAAGAGCAGTTTAGGGAATAAGACTGAGGCCTGAGGGCGGAGGAGAAGGAGGGAGGTTTGACCGTGAAGAAAGGCCTGGAGGCCTGTCCCCTCCGCCACAATGCCCACACCCACCCTCCCGGGTAACCCAGGGCGCCCAGCCCCACATCCCAGCCCCGCACTCACCCAGCTGGTTGGAGAGCGGCAAGGTGAAGGTGGACTGCCTCAAGGGGCCCTCCAGCAGGGCCCTGTGGTGGGAGCCCCTCTCTGCCAGCTCCCTGTCCAGCTTTGGGACGGGCAAGTGACAGAACTTCCCGGTGGAGTTGGAGGGGCACCAGCACTCGTCCCTGCCGATGCAGCGGCCTCCATTCAGGCAGGGGATCTGGCAGAAATCTACAACATGGACCTCAAGGTGACCGGCGGTGGAAGAACAGAGCAGCACCCCCCCTGCCGCAGTGGGTGACAACAGAAGCAGGGCGCAGTCGTGCTCCAAATCGGCACGGCGTCGCCTGGAATGCAGGGACTTTCCAGGAGGCCCCGGGGGTGAAGAAGGGGAGATAAGAACCAGCCCTGGCCCCTTTAAAGCGCCCCTTCATGCCTTTTTTCGACCCCCCAATAACCTGGGAGACAGGGCCAGCCAGGAACTGTCGTCTAAGGGCAGAAGGGACTCACAGATGCGGAAGCCAGACTTGGGGTCATGCCCGTGACCGCCCTGGCTGTACAGGGTGGTGGTGTCGCCACGCTCGCAGCTGTTGGCACAGTGCCCATAGGCACAGGTCTGCTTGCAGATGGTAGGAGTGAAGATGATCTTGATCTTCTTGATTTTCTCCGTGAGGTTCAGCCCTGAAGAGAGAGGGCTTGGGTCCAGGGGGCAGGGCTGAGAGGCACAGCTGTGACCTCCAGAGGCTGGTTGGAAAGGCCCCGGGACCAGGGGTGAATCCATCCCAAGGGCATTTGCTCAGTACCCACTGGATACAAGGCCCCAACGTTGGGGCAGGGTGACACCTGTGAGAAGCCCCCAGACCAGCATTTATTGAGGGACGTCAATGTGCAGCCAATAAGCTCATGCTTTATGCACTTTACTCTCAATGCTCTTGAGTCTTATTTTAGGTTGAACCATTAGAAGATGCCACTTTGTAGGTTAGAATGGTTGAATATTGGCCGTGTTCCTACATCCAAGCTAATATTTCCAATTCGCAGGGAAGGAAACAGGCTCGGAGAAGGTTGGGTTGCAAGTGGTGCTGCTGGGCTTTGAAGCAAAGGGCAGAGAACAGAATGTAGCTCAGACCCGCTGGAGTGCAGTTTTCTAGGAGAAGTGGAGGAAGATAAAGCCTGAAAGAACGATTAGAGACAGGTTTGGGGGAGGTGGGGGGCGGAGGGAGACTGGTTGTCAGAACAAGGATTGGTACTTTATTTGGTGGGTAGTAGGAAGTCACTGAAAATTCCAGTAAGAGATGGAAGAGGAAATGTGGGGGACGAATGTCCTCCCAGCTGGTGTGCAGGTGGAGGGGAGGCAGGTGACCGGGGGGAAGGGGGAAGTCACGCAGCGGTGTGAGCTGAGGTTGCTTCAGTTAGGAGTGGTAGCAGTGGACATTCACAGGAGGGGGGCTCATTTGGTGTGGGGAGCCCAGAGAGGGAAGCGGCAAGGCAGAGGGGTTGAGGAGGGAAAGTGTGAAAAGTCTATGTGGTCACCGGTTCAAGAAGCTTGGCTCGCCGAAACCGGTTTGGCTCAGTGGATAGAGCGTCGGCCTGCGGACTGAGGGGTCCCGGGTTCGATTCCGGTCAAGGGCATGTGCCTGGGTTGCGGGCGCATCCCCAGTGGGAGATGTGCAGGAAGGCGGCTGGTCGATGTTTCTCTCTTATCGATGTTTCTGACTCTCTATCTCTCTCCCTTTCTCTCTGTGAAAAATCAATAGAATATACTTTTAAAAAAAAAAAAATTAAAAAAAATAAGCAGGCCTGG